CTCCACATTAATTAGATCTGTAACATTTTCCTCATTAGAGTTTCTCAGTTTCCCTCATTTTGGTCAAAACGGTTTTGACCACGAAGCCCTTAGTGTCTTTAGTGCAGAATCACCATTTATTGTTGGCTGAGCATACTGGCTGTGTAGCAATGGTTAAGCACCTGGGAACCAGACATATGTAAAGATTCTTTCTGTTCAATATTCAACATCAATGTTATTTCTTGGTATTACGCCAATGAATGGATTTATTTTAGTCTGTGGGGCCTTTACAACTTAAGCTGTTTTGTCCATTTGTTCCAAAGGCAGAAATAAATGGATCAGATATTCTGGTAATTTTTATCCATGGTTTTATTCTTGTAGCATTTATTATTAAGCATATAAATACAGGAAATGATCCTTTTCAATGTGATTTTAAGACTGACATTAATTGGTGTCTGTTTTAACATATATAATCTCATTACAGAATATGTAGAGTGTTTCTGGTGACCTTACTTTTGGAAATGCAGTTCTCACCTTTCAGGCATACAGTTTACATGACATTAGATATTTGATAATCTCAATTTATGAGGGGAAAATTCAAGCTATTTCTCAGGTCATTTAGTAACAATTTCATGAGACTTTATAGGGATTTTAAAAGTATAGATCACATTGCCATTATCATGAGGAATAGTCATAGGACCTTAGGCTAGGGAATATTGAGCTTTTCTGAAAGCATCCTGTATTAATCATGTTTTTTCTGTATTTTATGTTTGGCAACTTTAAAAAGCTTGCTGGACAGGGAGAGTCTTCCTCTTTTAAGAGATGGCAAAGGGCTGATCCTGGAGCTCATCTTTCAAATGTCAACCAACTAGTCCCAGCCCCAACCTCCTCCTCTAACTCTCTCACAGCAACCTAGTACTTGCCCTGCCCTATATCAGCCAGACAACCCGAAACACCTCTTTGGCCCAGAGCTATAATGCTCCACGAGGGAGGGTCCAAAGCCACATCAGAACTTTATAGATAAAGCAAGATCTGGTCACCTGTTGAATCTCTTAAATAGAATTATTACTGTGGGGGCACCTGGGTGGCTCAGATGGTTGAGCGTCTACCTTCGGCTCAGGTCATGATCCCAGGGTCCTGGGATCGAGCCCCACATCGGGCTCCTTGCTCAGCAGGGAGCCTGCTTCTCCCTCTGCCTCTCTCCCTGCTCATGCTCTCTCTCTGTCTCTCTCTCTGTATCTCTGTGTCTCGAATAAAAAAAAATCTTTAAAAAAAAAGAATCATTACTGTAAAAAAAATGTCTGGACAATTTCCCCATCATTGGGGTTTAGTCTTTTTAATTTCCAGCATACAGCTGTAGTTGGGGTGGCAGCACGAGACACTGTAGTTGAGCTAGGATTGCTTCTCTTTCATGGGGGTAGATTGTATGTGGGCAAAGCCTTTTTTGACATCAGATTAAACAATGGTCATTGTAGTGTTGTTAATGTGGCAAAACTTCTGAGGGCTTCGTATGCTGCACAACTTTTTGAGAAGAGACTAATCAATATCTAAAGCTTGATTTATGGCTCACTTTCTGTTTCAATTATCTATTACTGTGTAACAAAAACACCCAAAACTTAATGGTTTAAAATGTTTATTTCTTGTAGAGTGGGTGGTTTCTCTGATGCACTTGGCATTAGCTGAAGTCTTGTTTGGCTAGCTAAATTCAGCCAGTGATGGGGCTGGGCCAGAAGGTCTAAAGAAACTTGGCTCACATGTCTGGAATTGTATGGGGCTTTCTCCTCATAGCTTGAGTTTCTTCACAGCTTGGTAATTTCAGACTAGTTGAACTTTCTGCATGATGATTAGCTTCAAGAAGGAAAGTGGAAACTGCCACACTTCCTGAAGTGTTGGCCTGGAACTTCTGCCATATTCTACTAAAGCCAAAGCAAGTCACAAGGCCCTTGCAGATTGAAGAGCAGAAAACAAGAACAGCTTTTTAGAATGGAATTAAGAGAAGGAACTGATACCGTCTTTGACCATCATACTAACCAAAGAAGGGCTATACTTATAAATCAGTCCAGGAAATTAAGAAGTGATACAAGTTTGGGAAATAGATTCAGGGATTGGTGGGCTTTCAAAAACAGGAATGTTGAGGGAATGCCTGGCTGGCTTTCCGTTGTAAAAGTTTGGTCACTGGAATGAGGCTGTAGCTGACTTTCTGACTTTCCAGAACGTGGTCATAGTGAATGCTGTTGCTGATTGGCCTTCAGAAATGTGGAGCTGTCAGGCTGGCTGGCCCTCATAAGCATGTGTGCATCTGATGAAACACCCATCAGTTGATCTGGTGATCAGTTGTCTCTGATCTTTCGATTCTTGTGGTTACTAATTCATGACTTAAAACTCTGGCCAAGAGGCAGTCAGTCTTCCTCCATCCTTCTTGACTTTGAAGGCCAGGAATCTTTTATTCTTTTCAGAGTATCTTTAAAGTTTTTTCATTAGTACAGACATTATTCTTAGTGACAGGTTTAACAGCGTTACTGGATTTTCCTCAAAAAGCAATAATTTTTATTTAATTTTTGATTGAGAAGCCAGGGGACACTAGGAAACATATTTGCTTCCACAGCAGGTTGAAGTAAAGAACTGCTATGAAGGCATGGCTGTAATCAAGATGGCATGCTTACGTCAGTGTTGGGGAGAGTACTGGTAGCAATACTTACTGTTTGAGGATTTAGAAGTTATATAGGTAGCAAAGCAATTACTAAGTATCACAGTAGGTGTTCATTGGTGGTAAACAGCAGACAAATCAAGGCATGTTTAAGAAGTTGAGCATCACGAAAGTCATCATTTGGAAGGGGCAGGCAAGTGGCAGGATTTAGATCGGAGCAGCATTTGACAATCCTGAAGTTTAGGCAATAAAATAATTCTACTGGTACTGTAGTAATACTAGTAATGTAGATTACTAGTAATGTAGCTGGTGGAGTTGGGCATTGTAAGGTTTTTGTTATTAGATTATGCTAGTTAAGTATGACAAAGATGGTCATGGGATAGTGAGAAAATTATAAAATGATGTAGGGAACACTGGCCATTGACTTGGAAGAAAATAAGGGAATATTTTTAGGTAGGGACTAATTAACAATTTGACTTAATTTAGACAATGTTTATTTTATACATGTACTGCTATATTCCATCAGAAAATGTTTTGATTTTATGACAGTTCAACAAATAAAACATTTATTTGAAAAGATTCTAATGCTTAGGCTTTTAACATATAAATACAATATACAAAATAAATACACTGCACAAAACCACCCACCCACAAATTGCTGTATGCATCATTTCTGAAACACATACTATATATAAAAGTACATCATATATGTTGATTGTGGTGTTTTCAGCTCTAAGTAACAGAAAAACTTAACTTTGAAAAGTGCCCGATAGTAACTATCGCAGGCTCTGTGAGCCATACAGTCTCTGTCAGAACTACTCAACTCTGTTCTTGTAGTGCTAAAGGCAGCCTCAGGCAAAACAGAGACAAATGGTTTTTATTAGTGTTCTAATAAAACTTTATTTATGGACACTGAAATTTGAATATACTTTTCACATGTTGCAAAATATTCTTTATTTTTTTCCACCCACTCAGAAATGCAAAACCATTCTTGGCTTGTAGGCTACAAACACGGGCTTTGGGTCACATCTGAATATCTGAATCCTTTGTGGGAAAATGCACAACCAAGCCAAACCAAGGCACTACAGCAATAAAGTGAGTGGTGAATGTTGGTAGCCAACTTTCTTTCTAGCATAATTCAAGAAATACAAATTATAATGATAATAGTATCTAACATAGGCTTTTCTTGTGTCTCAGACACTATTCTAAGTGCTCTAAAAATATTAACTCATTTCTCCATCAAAGCAATCCTTTCATTACCACTTCTTGTTTCTAGAAAAGGAAAGAGGCACAGGGAGGTTAAGTGGCATGCCCCGTGCTGGAATTTGGGCCATGGCAGTGAGAGTCCGGGCTCCACGTCTCTTAACCACTACCATGTTGCTTCTGCTATGAAGAAAAAGGCAGCGAAGAACATTCTTAAGACACTCATACAAAATTCTACGGCAGAGAGCTCTGCCCCCTGCTAAAACATCAACAGTAAGATGGATACGACTTCTTTATGTAGTGTTATGGTTTAAGTGTTTTCAGCTGTTTTTAAAAATAATTTCAGTCTTTTTTTATGAATAAATGTGTCCCTAATGTAAAACACGGCTGACCTTTCTGAAGGATTGGTTCAGTAACATCTGTATTCATTTAAAAATGCAAGGAAATAGAAAAAGATGCATTAAATTTTAAAAGAATATTACATTTAAAATACACATTAGAGTAACAACAGGAGTCGATGCTGAGACATAATGTGAAATATCTTCACATACGTGAAAACTACTGAACCAAGGCTACATATTTCCCTATGTACAATTATGGAGGGGATCCATGTGCACATAAACATCCACAACCTGTCTTGTAGCGTGCTGACACACATTAGTTCTACATACTAAAGGATTCTTCGCATGTGTATAAGGATATCACCTGGTTTTTTCCATGTGTTTGTGCTTTTTAAAAAGCTTCAAATATCTAGACATTGGTAGGTTTCTTAAAAAACAAAACAAAACCCAAAAAACAAAGGAAACCCCTCAGAATCCAACTGCTGCAACATGACTTTCGGTGTAACTGTTACCCTCACTCAGTACAGATTCTCTTTGAATTTTTGTCAAGGAACTTTCACATATTTGAAATGTCTGCAAAGGTTCTATCCCAGCATCACGGATCTGAAGTTCACTGAAACATCACTTCCCCATAAAGGCTTCTGTATCTGTTGCAGTCTGTGCAGTTACACCTTTGAGTGCTCCAAGTCCACCTGGTGTCAAAGGTTTCTGAATGCTTGGAAAGGATACTGATGGGAGCTTCTCACTCAGGTAAGCTTTTGGATATCTAGTGATGGCTGCCCTGACAGAAAATTCCCTGACATTCATTTGTTTTTACAGGATTTCTCTCATGTGATTTCTGTGTTGTGCGATCTAGTATGACTTCTAAAAGAACCGTCTCCCTCATGTTTTACAGTTTGTGGGTTGTCTGATACTTCATTAAGTCTGACATATGGTAAAAAGCTCTCCCACATAGATTTAAAGAATTTCTGTGTATTTCCTTTTCTGTCAAGAAAGACTCTTGACTGAAATTTTCTGAGATAGATGATATTCCTAAGCTTTTTGTCTTGTGTGAATTATCCAGTTATTCTGAAGGATGAATTCCAAAATAAGTTCCCTGTTCATAGTATTTATCAGCTTTTTCCCTCTGTGTGTGTCTTCTGATGTGCAGTAAGTTTTGATTTCTGAATAAAAGTTTTCCTACACTCCTGACATTCATAGGGTTTCTCCCCTGTGTGTTTTCTCTGATGTATGATAAAATGTGACTTCTGAGAAAAGGATTTCCCACATTCCTTACATTCATAGGGTTTCTCCCCTGTGTGTGTCCTTTGATGTAATCTGAGGACTGAATTCACAGAGAAAGATTTACCACATTCATGACATTCATAGGGCTTCTCCCCTGTGTGTTTTCTCTGATGTTTGGTGAGGTCTGATTTATAGTAAAAGTTTTTTCCACATTTATTACATTCAAAGGGTTTCTCCCCTGTGTGAGTTCGCTGATGTACTGTGAGAGCTGACTTCTGGTAGAAGCATTTCCCACATTCCTTACATTCATAGGGTTTCTCTCCTGTGTGAGTTCTCTGATGAGTTTTGAGGTGTGAATTTCTAGAAAAGAATTTCCCACATTCCTTACATTTATAAGGTTTCTCCCCTGTATGTGTTCTCTGATGTACTGTGAGGTGTGATTTCTGGGAAAAGGATTTCCTACATTCCTTACATTCATACGGTTTCTCTCCTGTGTGTGTTTTCTGATGTACCATGAGGTATGCCTTAACATAGAAGAACTTCCCACATTCATTACACTCAAAGGGTTTCTCTCCTGTGTGTGTTTTCTGATGTTCTACAAGGTGTGGCTTCTGGTAGAAGGATTTCTCACACTGATTACATTCGTACGGTTTCTCCCCTGCATGAGTCCTCAAATGTCTACTAAGAGATGACAGGTGATAGAAAGTTTTCTTACATTCTTTACATTCATAGGTTTTCTCTCTCGTGTGAGTTTTCTGTTGTACTGTGCGGTCTCCGTTTCTAGAGCCAGATTCCCCACATTCCCTGGGTTTGTCCTTTGAATGAATATGCTGATGTATTAGGAGGATAGACTTCTGGCAGAAGGACTTTCCACATTCATTGCATTTATGGATTTTCTCTCTGGCTTGAGTTTGCTGGTGTTTTGTGAGTTCTCCATTCCTAGAAAGGAAATTTCCAAATTCAGTAATGTCTAAGGTACACTAGCTTAGCTGAGAACCAACTTCTAGAGATTTTCCCATACTGATTAGATTCAGTTTCTCCACTTACGTTCTCTGACACACACTGTGGTTTAACATTTGGTAGAAGGAACCTTCCCTTGCATTGTATGCACAGTGTCTCTCAAGTGCCTGAGATCTACAAAGCCTCCCTTACCGTGTAACTCAGAAGAATTAAAAGATGAAACTTCAAAGTTTGAATCTCCTGGTCCTGAATAAGATCTCCATTATGGAAGAAAGCGTTCCCATTTGGGTTATATGCTTTGGAATTCACTCCAGTTGTTAGTTTTCTCACATTTAGTATGAACTCGTGTTTTCCTACTTCCAGTACTCCCATCAGTACTTTCTTATTACAAGGCTTCTAATCTTAAAATCGAAATCTTGGACTTGCCTTGAATTTTCAGCTCGGCTTTCCTGGTATTTCGCTCCTAGGTCATGAATTTTCCAGAGGTCTTCTACAAAGGAATCCAAAATTTAATACTGTATAAATCTTAATGTATTATTATGGTTGTAGGGTTGATTCTTAGGCTTCAGGCAATCTCCCCAAATAAAGGAACTCTCAAATGCAAATCTCATCTATCCCATTGGTTTAGAAAAAACAGAAACATTAAAAACTGCAGTAGCAGACCAGGGAAGAAACGTGGTTATAAATCCAAGTACTTCTGACACTTTACAAATATGGCCTTAAAAACTGGCAGGAAAAAGTTAAGGGGGAAGAAAAAATAAAAGAATAGGGAGCAGAGAACAAAAGATATCCAGAGTGCTGCTGAACAAGACTTAGGGACTCAGAATGCTGTAAGCCCATGACAGACAGGAACAGTAAGTAGAGTGACAAGAAAAATTAGAAGACAGCTGTGTTCACTGAAAATTTCAGGGGAAAGATGAAACTGGATGAAAAGCTCACAGGTCTTTGTCAGCTCAAATCTAATTTCCTGTGTTACTTTAGCAGACTATAAACTTCTGCTTGATTTCCTCTATACCCGCACACGACAATCTGTATGCCAACACTAAAGTGACTTTCTGAGAACATCTGTTTCCCCGTATGTGGAGGAATAGTTCTAGACTTTGGGCTCTCACTGTCCATCTAGCTGGCTTAATTTTCACGGGGGCAGAAGACCCAGGAAAACATATATCCTAAAGGAAAGATAATTAAAAAGAGAGTGCAAGCCATCATAAAATGGATGAATTCCCATTTGCAGTAGCAAAGATTTTCAAGCCTGATTGCCAAATACTGCATCTCCAAAGCAGTGTTAGCCACAACTCAATCCCAGGCTTATTCTGCTTTCATAGTTTAGTTCCCACCTCTCTGCTTCAATTTATTACATGATCTATAAAGAGTAAGTACTCAACATCATTCTGGAACCTTTACCGACCTTCACAGTTATTCATCTTTAAATGCTTGACAGAAAGTGAAGGATTATGAGCAGAGGCTTGGGGTTGGAATTTCACGGCACTTGTGGAGAAGACGTAAGATGTTACCTGATGGGGACCTGGGCAGGGCTAACTGGGACACACAGGAAACAAGATCGTGTGTGTCTTTGGTCTTAGGAAAGGAGGAGCCCTTGCAGGAGTTACTGTGAAGGGCACAGAGGAGAAGACAGTGCCTGCCTCTTGTTAATTCACATTCAACCTTTCAAGAATATCTAGTGAACAACTACTGAACACCAGGCATTGTTCCTGGTCCTGGCAACATCTAAGTACACAAGTCAGGAATATGAGAAAAGCATTTAAGGAAGCAGAGTGAGATCATCTTAGTAGTTTTTTTTGGCTTGTTTTTAGTTTTTTAAATCTTAGTGTTACAACACTCCAAGTAAGGTGAAGTAGATTTTAGAAGGGATAATGAGTACTTTGTGTGAAAGACAAACCACATCTAAAAGGAAGTATCAACTCTGAAATAATGTAATTGATGAAAGACATAAAGATTTGTAATCTGATTTCAGAGTTTAAAGAGAGAAAAGGAAGTTAATAAAACCGGTGCTGAAAAATAACTGAGGCATCTCATTGTTAGTAAAAGGAGGGAAATGGCATTTGGAGAAAAATTTATCATCAGATTTAAGATTACAGTGTTCTAGAATTTCAGTAACTGGGAATTCTAGAAAGAAGACAAAAATTTAAGCCAAGGTTAGGCAGCAATTAGATTTTGTATATAGGAAAGAAAAGTAAATCTATTTTTAAAAGTCCGGCAAAGGAGGAATTATGTGGAAAAATGAAAACCGGAGGTGTGATTTATGTTGCTTGCATATGCAGATCAAGTGTCCTTGGTCTTTTCCAAAAGTATAGGGCATTTAAAAAAGAGATTCCTAAAAATATTTCAGAAGGCCAAAGGCACCAACCACCTCACTAGCAACAGGGGCCACAGGTCGTCACTCACCTGGGTAATTCCGATGTGGAAATTCTACTTCCAATATCCACGGTTCTTTTCCTTGTTTCAGCTTGAAGACTGCATTCGGCTTTTTCACACGGTAACCTATTAATGGAAAAGTATGTAATACAGATTACTTGGAATTTAGGGACTTAAAGAATGAGGAAATGCGGTTTTAGGAGAACAATGAAGGTCCTACTTAGGCTTGGCAGATTTAGATTCTTTCAGTGGGGAGGGAGGGGACACAAATATTTTTTCTCATACCCAAAATGGATTCATCACCTTTTACCCCTGAAACAAAGCTAATATTATGCAGTCCAGCAACTGGGAAAGGAAATGCAAACTCTTGGTAGTTACATATGGGGAAGTCTTTCTCACCCACTGAGATTAGGAGACCATAGTTCTCTTGCATCACTTCCCTGTATAGGGTCCTCTGAGCAGCGCTCAGTAACTGCCACTCTTCCCGGCTGAATTCCACAATAACATCCTTGAATGTTACTGGTCCCTGTAACAACAGATTTCAGTTCAAACTGAAGTAATCAGAGTAGGGCACCACAAAAAGACACACGTAAACTAGCTGTTAACCTGCCAACTATAAAGTTTACTCTAGAAAGTTAAGATATTTTGCTCCTCTGTACATAGATGAAATGTTCCATATGTATTTACTGAAAATACCACCCATGCCTGGAACTCTGTGGAGACATGATGAATGAAAGCAACTATTCCTGTTGTCAAGGAGCTTACACTCTGACAAGGAGGCAAAGATGTAAATACTTGATTGCAATATTCATAGCAGCTGCTCTGACAGAAACATGTACCAGACATACGATGGTCACAAATGGGGATAGATATTTGCACTGTATATTCTCAAATCAGATTTTACTAGGTAGTCAAGCTACCATAAACTGGGAAGAAAGAAAATGGAGTCGGCAAAGGCCTTGATGCATGAAAAATGGCAAGTTTAGGAAAGTTACAAATAAGACGGCATGATATGAGAATAGGAAAGATTAGTTAGAAGGTGATACAGTCCAGTCAGGTGACAGAACATGGAAAAATTCTGAGTGTGTCTCTGGGCCATTAAAATATATTTTGCATACCCACTTAATTGGTGCCTGTTTATAAATACAAATTTGCAAGTCTTTATTAAAAATTGATGTTTTGTTTTTCTATTTATAAGAAAGAGAAATATGAATAGATATTCTGCTATTTCACACTATTTTTCCACTTTGTGGGCTGGCCTACACATCTTTGGGATGTTCACCCATTCACTTATAGATAATGGAGCCACTGAAGAGACAGATGTGAAGTGCTAGAGTTACAGGAGTAGCCTGGTAGTTTAGAAGAAAACACTGAAGTAGAAGAGGCAAATACCACACCAGAATTATGGAGTGTTAGAAAATTAAGGGCATATGTGAACGATAAACATTTAAAATAGCAGCAGTGGGGGGAAGAAACATACCTTCATTGGAAATGAATAATTATTGAGAGCAGGGAAGGATAACTCCTACAGTATCTATAGCGTTTGATAATAGCTAGAACTGCAATGCTAATTATTTTCATTCTCTCATTTTTATTGGTAGGACTATGTAAGGCTATGAAATTTCCTCCAATCATTGCTTTGCTTATATTCCACAGAATCTGACATGTAATGTGAAAACCTGAAGAGCTTCTTTGCTGAATATAAGTTCTTCCTTCTACTTTTCTTGAAAACACTGTTCCGCTATTCTTGTGTTATATATATGCTGCTAATGAGAATTATGTCAATTTTATTTTCTTTCCTTGGCAAGGGACGTAGACTTTTCTCCTTGTGATGAAGAGGACTCTTTTTTTCTCTACCTTTAAGTAAGTCTAGTAGTTTTATTAGACTCTCTCTTGGGGTTTACCACTCTGGGTCAGTTCTTTCTGGCACACACAGCCTTTTCAGTATGTAATTCAGTTCTTCTTTTCTTTATGGAAAGTTTCCCTGGATTAAACATTAGCTCTCTTCCACTATTTAGGTTTTGTTATTCAAGGATTCTACCTTATTTCCTATTTGTTATTCTCTCTCCCTCCTCCTTGTTCATCCCTAACGGCACCCCTACCCTCTCCCCGACTCCACAGTCTTCCAATCCCTCTGCCCCATGTCAGTCATCCGACTTGCATTTCTCTTCTTCCAGAGCTGCACTGTCATTTAATCTTCTAACCTGACAGGATTTTCTGTTCTACTATTTCTTCCCTGAGTTACTTTGCTTGTATTTTATACCTACTTGCTTTTCAGTTTCTGAGTCTTTAGTCTCTGGGTTTTAAAGTTATTTCCTATCTGAAACTCCTTAATACCGGAAAGCTGTACTCTCCTCTACTTTGCGTTTGTTTGAGGGAGGAGTACTGACGTCAACAAAGTGTTAATTCACGCATTCTACTTTTTTCTTTTAGTACTGTCTGCATGTTGAGTAACATTTTTTGTTCATGATCAAATGAACATAAATGGTGGGGAGGGGTGGAAGTGTTTTACCCTCGTCTTCAGTTCCCCAAAAAACTCTCTCTGTTGCCAGAGTATATTCACATTCTTGAAGGAAACAGCAGTACTGGGGGTGGGGTCTTCAGATTCTGTGATAATGTACTTTTCTTTAGGACACCTGATTTCAGCTGCTTGTTTTCTGGTTGCCTTCGCTACTAAGGACACAAGGGATTCCACTTCTTTTCCTCTGTGCTGCTGACTGCTTGAAGCTGCCGTCTGTGTTCCTGCACACATTCTAAAGCCCCTCCTTTCTCCTCCCCGTGCCAGTCCTCGGCTCCCACGGTCTCAGACCTCTCCAGCATCTCCCCAATCAGGGTGAGCGTCTCTGTGCCCACTTGATCTTATGCTGCTCTACAACTATGACCTCGACATCTTTCCTCTTCCATCAATGCCCTCCTGACTTCCTGCTCTGGGGTGAGCTCCAAACTGCTTTTGCTCGTAATAGTGATCTCTCAACTTATACAGAGACAGAAGTTTCCTGTCTCCTAGCTATACAGTAGGAATAGGTTGGGGCGTGTGGAGACATTTGTATTTTGCCAACTAACGTTATTCTGTAGCAACCAGGAAATCCATAAAAGAAACTGGAAAACAAGAAAAAGAATCCGTTGGGCAAGAGGAGACAGAGTTGAATTTTGTTCACACTGTGAAGTGACTGTGGAACATATAGCTGGAACTGTCTATTCTGATGGATATCCATGTAAGTAAATTTCCACAAAGAATATTGTCATATTTAAAAAACGGGGTTCCAGAAGAGTCAAAAAAGAAGTCTGAAAGCAACAACATTCAAGATAATGGTAGGAGAAACTAGGCCAAGACCAGAGTCTGACAGGACTCTAAGTATATGGGCAGGTCAGGAGGAGAGTGCTTAGGAAGCCAAGGAAAGAGATTCACAGCTAATGGGCAGTTCTAGTTCAAAATCCAAATATAAAAGTCCAAGGTAGTGTAACTTGGTAAGTGCACTCCAAAAAAAGATAGATGGGTAGCAAATAAGCACATTAAAACATTTTCAATGTATTAGTCATTGGATAAATGCAAATTAAAACCATAATGAGATACCACTACACACCTACCAGCAGGATTTGAAAAAAAATCACAACTGACAATACCAAATCCTGACAAGAATGCAAAACAGGTAGAACTCTGTACATCGTGGTAGGAACACAAAATAGTACAGCTACTCTGGTAAACAGTTTGGCAGTTTCCTATAAAGTTAATCACAATACTAAATTTGAGGCAGGTAAGCACATGCCTAGGTATTTACCCAAGATAAATGAAAATCTCTGTACACACAGAAATCTACATGCAATTGTTTTTAACACCTCCTTTTATAATTGCCACGAAACAGAAACCCAAATGGTTTTCAGCTGGTGAATGCGTTAATAAATTGGGTACATACATACAGCTCAGTACTATTTAGCAATAAAAAAGAATGAACTGTGGGTACAATTAACATGATTACATCTCCAATGCATTATGCTAAATGAACGTTGGTAGCCTCACAAAACTACATACTGTTTGACTTAACTTATATGATATTCAGGAAAAGGCAAAATTACAGGGATAAAGAATAAATTGGTGATTGCTAGGAATTAGTGGTGGGGGGAACCAAAAGAATTTTGAGGCAAGGAAACTGCTCTAATTCCTCACTGTGGTGATGACTGTGTGCCTTTATGCATGTGTCCAAACTCACTGAAATGTATATCCAAAAAGAGTGAATTCTGCTGTAAGTTAAAGAATAAAGTTAAAGAATAAAGAAGATAAAACAGCACAAAACAAAAATGACTTCACACCCATTAGGATGACGACTCTCAACAACAACAACATAAAAACCCAGGAAAATATCAAGTATTGGCAAGGATATAGAGAAACTGGAAACCTTGTGGATTGCTGGTGGAAATGTAAAATGGTGCAACTCCTACAGAGAATCTAGTACGTTGGTTCCTCAAAAACTTAAAAGTATACCATATGATTCAGCAATTCCACTCCTAGTTATATATCCAAAACAACTCAAAGCAGGGACTCAAGCACGTATTTGTATACCAATGTTCACAGCAGCATTATTCAGAATAGCCACAAGGTGCAAAAAACCCAAGTGTCCATCAAGAGATGAATGCATCAAGGAGAGGTTGGGAAGATGGTGGAGGAGGAGGAGGACCTAGCACAATCCTCCCATGAATGTAACTAGGTAACACGTCAGCATAAATAACCCATGAAAGCAACCCCAAGACTGGCCGAACAAACTCCACAACTAAAAGTAGAGAAGAGGCTGCATCAAAGAAGGTAGGTGTGAGTATTAAGAGAAGTTGAACTAGATGCAAAAGGAAAGATGGAACACAGTAAAAAGTATAAAATCTTGATTTTTAATAAAACATGCCAAAAAAAAAGATGAATGCATAAACAAAATGTGGTATATAGAAACAATGGAATATCATTTAGCCTTTAATAGGAAGGAGGAAATCCTGTCACATGCTACATTGATGAATATTAAGGACATTATACTGAGTGAAATATGCCAGTTAAAAGCGGCAAATGCTCTGTGATTCTACTTATATGAGAGACCTGGTATAGTCAGGTTATAGATAGAAAGTAGACTGGTGGTTCCCAGGGGAAGGGGGAATAAGGAGTTATTGTTTAATGGCTAGATTTTTAGTTGTGCGAGATGAAAAAAGTTCTGGAGTTGGATGGTCGTGATGATTGTACCATGATGTGAATGTACTTAAAGCCACTGAACTGTACAGTGAAAAATGGTTAAAATGGTAAGTTTTCTGTATATTTTGCCCCAATTAAAAAATAAAAGTAAAAACCAAACCCCCAGAAAACACTAAGAATGGCAGTACGAAAGCATCAAATATTACCATATGCACCAAAATTGTGGGGGGATCAAGAGCCTAGAAAAAAAGAAATTGAGTCCTATACCTTGAATTTGAATTTTTGGGGCATTTTCAAATTTCAGGGCAGAGCAGAAAGTAGCTTAGAGCTAGCATCCTGACCATAAGGATAAAAAGCTAGTTCTGAATAGAATGTAGAAAGGCAAAAGAGAAGTGGATCTCACCCTAACAATAAGAACAAGCCCCTAACATAGAAAATTACAAGTTTTCCAAAAACCTATCAGAGAACTGAGAATCAGAGAACTGAGATGAACAAAGGAAAAATTCACAAGAGATGAATGCTCCAGAAAAGAAAACCACAATGACTTTCACTTTTAGGGGCAAGTAGGGGAGAGGGAACCAATCCAGCTCAACAAAATTTTAATGTTTGCTTATGGATTTCTGCGATGTCTTAGAACTCCAGTCACAAAGCATGTGAACACCAATCTGCCATTTGATACTAGCTGGTGACTGGAGGTTTCACATCCAAAAGGTCCCTAAATGGAAGCCTAGGATCTGCAGGACTTTTTTTTTTACTTCCCATCAAATGTCTCAGAGTGATCGTTTTATTATAAGTTGGGGAAACAATTTCTGGAACCAAATAGGAAGCTCCATAACCAATATGAATGGTCTGAAGTACAGACAGCCGAGTACATGGCAAGAGCCCTCCACAGGCTGGGAGCAGAGCACCAGGGCAGAAGAGACGTCTCCCAAAGGAAGTACAACGAGTCTCATTAGGATAAAGAAAAATCCACACATACACACAGGAGAGTTAAGGTATCTTAAAAGTAGCTAGCCCGGAGTGCAAATTTACTTTAGAGGTCTGACAAAAGGTGAATTTTCAGTAGTATCAGTAGAAGACAATGAATGCTTTTCAATGTTTTAAACTGTAAGAACTGTCAGCCAAGAGTTCTAGACACAGTGAAAAAGCAGTTTATATTTCAGATAAACCAAACTCAGAATTTTCCACCAGCAGATCCTCACTAAAACAAGCAAGCGAACAGAATAAAAACAACGTAAAGGATGTTTTCAAACAGAAGAAATTTATGCCAATACAACCTGAAAGATTCAAGAAGAAATAAAAAAAGATCACATCATTGGGCCAAAATGGCAATGAACAAACCAAAAATTACATATCTGCATAAAATAAACTTCTCCAAGAGTTGGTAGTGATGACTGCACTCAAAATTACTTCAAAAAACTAAAAGGCTCACTAGTCAGTTGTGCTGGCCAAACTGGCCAGTCAGAGATTAGTTACAGAGCATAAAGTGGGGAACATGTGGCACCCCTGAATGAATTCTGGATAAGGAGAATATCCTGTAAAAGATACATGTTCAAGACTAAAGCAGAACTGTTGAATAGGCTAATTTTTTTGGAGCTTCCTCCTATATTATTTCTCCCTCTTTCCATAGTCTCTTTCTCCCTACCATCATGCCCAAAGACTGTGATTTTTAGTTAATAACATAATGTCCACACTGAAAGTTTATGATATGGTAGTGAACGATTTCAGAAGCTGGGCTATAAGAATTTATTACTTTCTTTCTTTTTTTTTTTTTTAAAGATTTACCTTTTTATTTGACAGAGAGCACAAGTAGGCAGAGCGGCAGGCAGAGGGAGAGGGAGAAGCAGGCCTCCCGCTGAGCAGGGAGCCCGATGCGGGGCTCGATCCCAGGACCCTGGGATCACGACCTGAGCCGAAGGCAGACGCTCAATGACTGAGCCACCCAGGCGCCCCTGGGCTATTAGAATTTCAAACACTATGTCAAGTGCTTATAAAAGGGCTGGGAAATTCAGTGCCAAATACACTCTTTTGTTTTTAAGCATTAAATTTATAAAATCAAAGAAATGGTTACCACAGAAGTCAGGATTCGTTTTTCTCTGGGTCATGAATGGTGAGGAGGGGCACACGGGGCTTCAAAGATAGTAGTAATTTTCATTTCTTAAGCCAGATAGGGGATACACCTGTGTTTCATCAATATTCCCTTAATTTTACATATACATTAAATACATTCCTTTGATTGCATAAGTATGATTTTTAAATAAAACTTAAATTCAATGTTTTCTTCAGCCTACAAGGTCCTACATATTGCAGCCCCTTCTACGTCTTTGATCTTCCCTCTTAGCTCATTCTCCCCTATGTCCGCTCTGTAGCTTCAATGTCTTGAATACTGTTTCTGGAACATGCCTCAGGGTGTTTGTATTTGCTTTTCTTCATATCTAGAATGCTTTTCCCCCAGAATCCTACTTGGTTCCCTCTCTAATTTAACCAGGGCTCTCCTCAAATACTACCTTTTTAGAGTGGCATTCCCTAACCACGTTATTCTGTTCCTCACTTCTCTGTGTCACGCTGTCCTCCTAAACTGCCTCTGAGCACATATATCAAAAGTATTACTCCAGGGGCGCCTGGGTGGTTCAGTCGCTTAAGCATCTGCCTTCCACTCAGGTCATGATCTCAAGAGTCCTGGGATCAATCCCCATGTCAGGCTCCCTGCTCAGTGGGGAGTCTGCTTCTCCCTCTTCCTCTGCTACTCCCCCCTGCTTGTGCACGGACGTGTGCTCTCTCTCTCAAATGAATAAATAATCTTTAAAAGAGAGAAATATTACTCAAATGCAGACACATATAAAAAATATATTACATTTGTTAGTATCTTCACCAGTCTCCTCAGAAAAGTCTTTTTTAACTATTAGAACGTGTCAGCTTCACAGTGGAGGATACAAGTTTTCCAAAAATCTGTTTCACCGGAAAGCTCAACTTTTAACACTAGCAACAAATACTGAGAGTTCTTTTTCTTGAAGTGGCAGGCTCACTTCTGCCATTTTTGAGAAAATGTTTGGTAAATACCCGTCCAAATAACCACAGTTTGTCTGCCAGTTGCTCTTTCAAGTAAAAACAGTATTCCATGAAAAGGTGGCTAGGTAAGCTCACGAATCAATCACACAAGTGCCTTTTCTCTAGACAACCATCATTCCTCAGTATGTAGCAAAAGTACTGTAAGTCAACTTCCCATTTCCTCAGACTCAGTATTACAAAAATACGTATTCAAGGGTCAAGATTTAATAAATTAATTTTTACTGTTTCATCAAAGATACCCTTAAGTAAAGGTGGCAGTTTTTTATTGTGAGTACACTGCAGAGAAATAGTCATTGGTATCACTGTCTTGATTCATGCCAAACAGGCAGCAACCTAGTCACCATTGCTCTTACACCATCAGTATGCAAGGCAGTTTGCATCTCAGTATTACGTTCTGACCTCACAGGCCCCTTATTAAGGTCTTGGGGATCCCAGGAATCTGCAGAGTACACTTTGGAACTGCTGTGCTATTCAAACAGCATTTTCCCTTAAGGTGATTTTTAAGTATTTCCACTTTTCGTGTTTAATGTATGGGCTTTCATAAAACTCACTGAAAATAGATACACACACACACACACACACACA